ACAGAGTGGTTTTTACATATTCTCTGCTGTTTCTGCTAAAGTCTATGTGAGTGTTGGAGGTAGTGCTTAAAAGTTGGGCAGGTGTTTGAAATTTATGCAGAAGTGGTGGCTCTCTTAGGAAATGAAAAGAAAAATGAAAGAAAAACAAAGAAAAAATTGAAAGCAAAAGAGAGCCACTACCAAAAATCTGAATAATGCCCAGTAAGTAGTGTTTCTTAGCAGTCTGGCTTGGAAATGCTGATGTTTATGCCTCCTTCGCTCTTGTGATCTTAAGATATTGAGAATGCAGAATAGCAGAAAGAAAATACCGGGTTGTTTGACTGTGATTGTGTGTTTGGAAAATGTGGAACCTTTTGCTATGAATACTTCCACCACCTAAAAGGCCTTTTGCCCATGTCCAAGACCCTAGCCAGTCATTTGAACCTGTGTCTAAGACCTCCTGATTAGTTAGTGGTGACACCCCATATGTGAACTCTAGCATTTAGAGGCTGCCAACATGGTGAAGAGATGATAGGTATTGAGAGAAATAGCATGCGCATCTTTCGCATCAAATTGTCCTGACCCCACTGGTCGAGAGTGAGTGATTCATTTTCATTTTCTATATGCTCTTGTACCCCGGTGAGGACCTAGATTGCTCGGTCTCTATTCTGATGTCTTGAGTTGGATGCATGAGTTGACTGTTTTGAGTAAGTGGTTGAATCAAGTCCTAGGTTGGCCAGTGAACAGAAGGGAGACTCTTCCTTTGCTCGATTTGCTGCACTCGAATTTCCTTTGTGGTGGTTGTCCAGGTTGTTATTGAGGTTGTGCATGTATTGATGTTTGAAAACCAGTGCGATTCACGTGTTTTGTGCCTTTATGACTTGTCCCCAATGTTGGTTGATTTGAAATATGTAAGCTTACCTAGTGTCTGACTTGGTTTGCTTGGGGACAAGCAAACGGTTAAGTGTGGGGGAGTTTGATAGACCGTTATTTACACATGTTTTTACCCCTGCTCTTACTCCGTTTGAGGTATTGATTCTCGTGTTTTAGGCCGATTTCACGCTAGGTTGTGCTTGTTTATGATATTTCAGGTCCTAGTACGTGAATGGAGGCTTGAGAGCGAGTTTGACGTCGATTGGACAAGGATCGGACGCATGGCGAGGTTCTGAGGAAGTCGCGTGGGCACGCACGGGATTGTGCGTGGGCACGCACGGGATTGTGCGTGGCCACGCACGGCCGTGCAAGTGACCAGTTTGGCCGTGCGGGATTGTGCGTGGGCACGCACGGGCAGAGCAGAAATCCGCACGGCCGTGCAACATATAATCCTGGCCGTGCGGGATTGTGCGTGGCCACGCACGGGATTGTGCGTGGCCACGCACGGCCGTGCACCTGGCCATGCACCCAGGCCTGAGGTAGACTTAATGATACGGCGCGTTTCAGGGTGCACGGCCAGAATGGTGTTGTGCACGGCCGTGCACCTAGCCGTGCAACTCGGGAAAGCCGGTTTTAAAGCCTATTCCGAGCCAGAAGTGGGAGAATGGTGTTTTGAGAGCAAAAACAGAGCCCTAGAGAGAGAAAGTGCGAAGAACACACCCTAGAAGCTGTCTTAGAGCTGGATTTCATCGAATCGAGCTTGGAGATCGTCATAGGAGTGAAATTCATCATCCCGGAGCAGATTATCCTCATCGTTATGAGTATGACTAATCCGATTCTTGTTTTCTCTTCTCTCTCTATGGAGTAGAACCCTTCTCTCACTTGGGTATGAAGAACCCTAGTTCCTTGTGTTAGGGATTTGATTGTAATGACTTGGGATGATATTACTGTTTGATTTTAATCGAATGACGCATGTTTATTGAATTGATTTGAGTCTGATCAGCTTTTCTCAATTTCTGCTTCAACCTGAGATAGATAGAATCTGATTAGGTTGTTAGAGCCTCTTCATTCGATAGTAGGAGATTGGCTATACGAGAGTTAGCCAGTTTACTGCTTTGTACTGGTGTTCTTGACGCCAGTAGTGGAGTTCTGTGTTCATAGCCTCAGCTTTCTATCCCGGTGAAGACTAGTCGTCTACCGGGTAGTTAGACTGAGAGGGCTTGGTCAGCTTAAGAGATTCCAAGCTACTGTCGGATCTTCCGCAGTCTAATCAACTGTAAATCAACCCAGGGAATTGCAATTGAACCTACCTAAGGGGCTAGGGGGACTCAATCCCGAGTGACTCTTACCTGCTTTAGAAACCCGAACAATTTACTGCTTTCTTGTTGCTTTTACTTTTCACAACAATCACTCGACTTAGTTTGCTAGATAATAGAGAATCACGGAGTAAGCAGTAGATCTAGACCCCGGGTTGATAATTAAACTTGCCTATACTGCAGTCCCTTTCATTGGTTACACTTGGCCATTGTTAGGTGTTGTATTTTAGCGTGTCAACCATTCAATTGCTCAGTGGCCATAGGGCTCCCAGCAGCAGCTGGTGACCCCCTAACCACCTCAGCAAAACTATCAGAAGCCCCCCCCCCCCTAATATAGGAGGATTTAGTTGACCTTCTTCCTCACCAACTCATCATTAGCCAAATCAACTGCTTCCATTATCTCACTCTCGACAACAGACTTCCCTTTATCTAGTGGCAATTTGCTCAGCAGGAACTAGGGGTGGCTATACGTTCCGGTCTGGTCCAGTTAAATTAGCTCAAATAAATCCGGTCCCAGTCTGGTCTTTTCGAGAATATAAGGACCAAAGATTGGATCGGATACATTCCGGTCTTGATCCGGCCCGGTCTTGAACCGGTCCGGTCCCAATTCGGTCTTGATTTTAGATTGAACTTGTGGAGATTTGAGTGGCCTGGGGGGGATTTGAATAGCCTAAGGCCTGAAAGGGTGAGGAGGTTAAATTTTGCGTTTTGGGCTTTCTTATCTGGTCTTTATCCGATTTTCGGTTCGGTCCCAAACGGTTTTTTACCTCAAATCTAGGCATTAAAATTGGATTGGATTGGATTGTTTGCTATTTGGTCCCGGTCTGGTCTTGGTCCGTTTTCGGGTAAAACCAAAAAGTTCGGACCAAATAGCCAGCCCTAGCAGGAACCACTACTTCAGGAACCATCACTTTAGAACTCGGAAAAACCGAGGGAGAAACATAGTTATTCTGCCATTTCTTACCATTCTTAGCCAGTTTCTCGCAATCATGCCCTTAAACCTCACAAGTAGGACAAGTAATTGGCTAATTCAGATACTCAAATCAACCACAAAACTCAGATCATCATCAGGATATAGCCTAACCTGGGCAGGAAACCCACAATCTACCGCCAAATCCACACACACCTTCGCGTAGCCCAGCTGTGCACCAACTTTCTTCGGATTGTCCATCCACAATGGAGGACCAATAGTACTAGAAACACACTCCAAACCCTCAAACGAGTGATATTCCAGAGGAATACCCCAAATCCTCACCCAGATCAGCAGAGTTTCAATCACAGGAACAACCGGCTGAATCCCCGGAGCCGACTTCCGGAAGAAATCTGATTCCCCTGATAGTGCCATGGACCCGATTGAAAAACCCACTTACTCGTAGAAGCTGATAGAAAGTGAAAAACAAGGAGCCTCAGCCCGAATCTAGACACCCTTACCACACCATCACGCCCCCCAAAGAGACGTCGCCCACTGCTGCAGGAGAGAAACCCTAAGAATTAGACCTATAAACTGACCGATAAGGCAGTCTTTCCACCTTGCCTCACCTTGTTTCTTCACCTTCCTGGAATACGAAACCCATCCTGCACCCTTTCTGGAGGACGAAACTTCATCTGATTCGCCTCCGGAACATTAAAAACCTTCATCCACGCCACTAGCTCTCCGGAAGGGGATATTACTGTGTATTTTAACCGGCCAAACAGAATACAATCGTGGATAAAACTCTTGCAAACTCCATTATTTGCAATGTTTGTAAAATCGTATCGTACTGCCGGTTCGACCGAAAAATCTCTTACCGAGGGCTAATCAATAAGTGATTTTTAGTGATACAAAATAGTTAAGCCTAAATTAAAATACAATTCAACATAAAATACAATAGTGTTATCTACAGGGTGCTGCAATACTTTCATTATTGATGAATGATGAGAGGGACCATTGGACAAACGTATCTGCCAAAAAGCATTTAAAGGGGAAAAATAGAAACTTTGGCTAAGACAGTTGCAAATGAGAAAGAAAAAAGGAAAAAAATAAAGAAAATTCGCAAGTTGCGGGGAAGCTTGGGGAAATAACACACTTATAAGTATTTACAGACATACGTACCTAGTATATGGGTAAATTAAGAAGATTAAGATTCAAACTCCCCCCTCCCCCCACACACACACACACAAGCAGAAGAACACAAGTACACCTCATCAATTCTCCTCACCCGGTGGGAACTCCTCCGCCGCTGCATCCCGAGGCCCGCCTCCGCCATCTGCGATCTCCGATTCCGCGTCGTCCGCATCCCTTAGCCGGATCCCTTCACCTCCACCAACACCTCCCTTCCATCGTCAGTTTATCTGAGATATCAGGGGGTTTCCCCCTTTCGGATCTAACTCCAAATCTCGGGGGTAAGATAAGTGAGAACAACGGGTGCTTCCCTCCCCGCCTTTTGCGTATAAGCCGGCCGATTGTGGTCGATTGTGGATCGTTCCACCTTCAAGTGCGTCTTTTTGTTCATATTATTTTGACGATTTGATTTGTTTTCTACTTGCATGCTCTGTTTCGGTGGTTGAGAAAGTCTTGTTAATCATTAGCTACATGCTCCAATTGTGACTTAATAGTTTTCCTCAATGGCTTCCTGCTTCTAATTGAGTATTACGGCCTTCTGCCAGATCGTCAATCTTTCATTTTCGTTGGGGCACAGATTTGGAGGGTCTATGTTCGATTTGTTGTTTGTGTGTGTCCTCTGCTTCCTCTTTTGCAGGTTCCTTCACATTGCGCTCTTCCCCTGCTACTTTTCTTTCCCATTTGCGGCCTTGCTTCCCTGCGCTCCCCGTGATCCGGCTCTACTAGCTTCCCTTCAGGTGCGGTCTCGTCAGATCTGATGCGGCCTCCATCTCTCCCTGCTTCCTCCTCAAGCGTGCAGTCCGATGCGGCGGCGGTGGGCGGTGGCAATCAAGCGGTGAGATGGATAAGCATCAATTGGATAACTACTATCTCTTTCAGAGTTCGTGGGCCATTCTCCTTAATTTAATTTAAAAGAATTTACCTTTTTGTTTGTTTATTTGTCCTTCGCAATGGATAGGTTTTTTTTTTTTTTGCTCTTGTGGCATTTCTGACCGCCTTTTTTCCCCAAATTCCCAAACTGCTTTTGCTTCTTCTTAATTCGTGTACATCCCAGGTCGTCGCTTCGGTTTTCTTTCTAACTTTTGCCTTTAGTAGGTTATCTCTATCCCTTGTTCTTCTAGGCTATGGTTGGATGCTAGCTTCGGTTTTTTTACTAGTTTGATTGGACCCAATAATTCATTATATTTTCCTATAAAAAAAACAAAAATTTCATTATATTTATATAGTAACGATTCACTTTTGCGTTGATTTGAATTTCAGTTTCTCAAGCTACGGTTGTTTTGCAGGCCATCGTAGTGGGCCTTTGTGTTGGTCACTTGAGCCTCTTTGTAGGGGCATTTTGCTTTGCTCGTGTGCAAGAAACGAAGTTCATAATTGCTTCTCCGTTTATTGTGCGATCTTGGCCGGATGGGAGGTTGCGTCATAGTGGTGCGATCAAGGATTTGCTTTCCTTCTTCAATTTTCAGCATGGTTAGTTCATGATTTATTTCCTTAATTGAAGGATTGGCAGATTTGCGGGTGGTTAAGAGCAATAGTAGCAGGGAATTTTTGGTTGGTGTTTGGGCTAGTAGGCCATTGGCGAGGGTGGATAATTTGGTGGATTTTGCAGGTTGAGTAGGTATTGAGTGTTTTGTCTGAAGGATCAAATTTGTGGGAAAAGGTGACTGATCCAGTTTCTGTGAGGATAAGTTCATAATATTTGTGGGTTTTATTGAGGGATCTTGGTTTGAAGAACCACTCATTGAGGAAACGTTTGGCAGTAACATTTGGATATTGATGGTAGAAACCATCTTCGACAACGAAAATGGGTTTAAAATTGTTTTTCTTAAAATACGTTTGAAATCGATTTTGAGGGGCTTGGACAACCACCACCTCTTGGGTTTTGGGAAAAACGGTTTTGAGAGGGGCTATCAAAGATGCCACCTCTGTTGAGGTAGATGTGACATCAAGATGATGTTGCTGATAGATTTGTTTGGTTTCTTTGGAAGAGATAGGTGTGGGTAGGATGCCACTTGGCGTTTGAGTATTTGAAAGAATTAGTTTAGAAGGGGAAATTGTCGAGGAAGTTTAAGCTTCAGTGGGAAGCTTTTGTTTAGAACCAGAAACGACAATAAATTTTTGAAGGTAATTTTGAGCTTCAAGAGGAAGCTTATCAATATTGATTAAAGCTTTGGATGAACTTGAGTGTGAACCAGAATCATTAGAACTTTCTTCATACTCACTTGAATAATCATGGCTTCCTTGTTCATCATCAAATATCTCTCTCCATGTTTTGATTTTTATTTTCTCTTTATCTCGCAATCTAGTGGTAGGGGGCATTATGATTGAGGATTGCATGCCTGAGAGTTTTCTACACTTCGTCCTCCATGCAAAAATTCCAGAGTAAGGAAGTCTGGAAGAGAGTTTGAAGAACCATTTATAAATTGTATGTCGAAATAAAAAATGCTAAGGATGGCTTGCCATCGTGCAAATATTTGTTTAGAACCAATATTTTGAACATCTTTTTCCAAAATGTATTTTGCTGATTCGCAATCAATGCGTAGTAAAAAAATTTGATTGAGCAAATCATGCTGAAATTTTGAGATGCATAAAACAATAGCAAACAGTTCTTTTTTGACAGTGGAGTAATTGATTTGGGTAGGGTTCCAATGTTTAGAAGTAAAGCGTACCAACAACTCCTTATCATTTTGAATCTGCTTAAGGATTCCTCCATATCCTAGGTCAGAGGCATCGGTTTCGACGATTTTAGGGAGAGAAGGATCACTTATGTGAAGGCATGGGAGACTCTGAACCTGCCTCTTAATTTGCTGAACTATTTTGGTATGCTGGTCACTCCAGGGAGGGGGACTCTTTTTCAATCTATCATGGAGAGGTTTACAAAGAAGATTGATGTTGGGATAAAATTCAAGGACATAATTTAAACTACCCAGGAACCGTTGTAATTGATTTTTGTCTAAAATTTTATCAGGAAATTTATATGCAAATTGAAGAGATCTTTCGATTGGAACAATTGTTCCTTGACTAATGTAGTGACCCAAAAAAACGTATCTTAGTTTGAAAAAGACAAAGTTTTGGTTTAGAGACAGCCAGACCGTTACGTCGAGTGACTTCAAGAAATAGATTAAGATGTTTGAAATGTTGGTCAATGGACGAAGAAAAAACCAGGACATCATCAATATAAACTATTAAGAAATCATGATATTGCTCATGTCTCTCAGGTATCATAGGGTTGCCCATATCGTGGTAGTAAAGCACTATTATGTTAGACCTGCAAAGGTCTTTTCATTTTTCATTTTTGTTTGACTTGCAAAGGTCATGTATATTGTTATACCTCGTATCTGTTGTTCCCCTTTGAGGATATCTATGGCAAAAAAAAATTAAATTAAGAAGATTATAAGAGATAATCGTTCATTCTTTTTTCCTCCCCTTAATGTGATAGAAAGAGAAATCACTAATCTCTCTTCACTCAAACTGACCTGGTACATGTATCGGAGACCCACCAGGGGTGGAGAAATGGCGGCAGCAAGCAGCTAGGGGTGGCTATCCGGTCCAGTCCGGTTAAACGGTTCCGGATTGACCCGGCCCCAGTTCATTATTTTTGGAAATATAGGGACCAAACATAGGATTGGGTACAGTCCGATCTTGACCTGTTTTGACCCTGATGAAGAAAATTCAGCAACATATACCCCTTTTCTTGGAATGTAGACAACTTGTTTGTACATCATTTGTAGAAAAAAGTAAGCCAAACATGGTCCAATAAAAGATTACAAACATCCTTTTTGTCTATTACAAAATCAAAGTCCAATTCAAACTTCAAATTCAAAATAAAGTGCATTACAACCAAAGTTTAGACATTAAACACCAAATCCACTCCAATCTTATTAGTTTGATTCCAATGGTGATGACTCAGACTCACCCAAAACCCAAATCTTTCTCCACTCTACCCAATATGTTGCTAGTGGTTCTATTCTCTTCCCTCCTCTATCTCTCTCGACTTTTCGTCCTTCAAACTTGGCCTGATGAGTTGCACAACTGTTAGCAGCTAGCTAAAACAGAGGTAAAAATAACTGGCCAAGTTAATAATATGCCATGGAAGAGACTGGAGGGAGACAATCCATGGACAAAGAGCAGGAAGAATCGCCCAAGAAGTTCAGCTAGTGGGAGGAAAGAGGTTGAAAAGAGACGATTGGAGCAAAGGGGCAATGTCGAGCTTACAGGAGGCGTACGAGAGCAAGTGGGTACTTTGAAACCTAGCCAAGCTCAATGCCCGGCGTCGCGTTTGCTGGGTCAGAGCCGAGGCCGGCGTCACGATGCCATTGCTGGGTTAGATTTGAGGCCGCCATCGTGTGGTTTCGTGGAGGTGGGTAGGAGCGGAGGCGCATTCGCAGTCGCTGGTCGATTTTAGGGTTAGGGTGTTCGGGTCGTCGGAACAAGCTGCGGTTTTCGTTTGGGAGGGAAATGGATTGGAGGCGTGTTAGCGATGGAATGGAGAGGGAGAGGGAGTCTTCCTTCTGCAACCCTACCGAACAGAGTGGGTTGGGCTAGCTTGGTCCGCTAGGGGGAGTTGTAGAGGGCTCACCTGGGCCCTAGTGGGTTTGCCTCTAGGTTTGGGTGGGCTCTGCCTCTAGTCTGTTTTTTAGTTATTTGGTCTTCTGGTTTTGATACGGTTTTAAGGTTTTGATACGGATTTAACCCTGACTAGATTTGTCCGGATTTTTTGCTAATTTTTAGACCAAAGAGGGGATTGGATTGTTTTGCATTCGATCCCGGTCTTAAAAGATTCTAGTTATACAGTCTGTATCCGATTTTACATCCAGTCCCGGACCAAATAGCGATCCCTAGCAGCAGCAGTAACACGAGGAAAGGAATCAACAAAGACTGCATTTGGTATCCAAACATCTCTCCAAAATGGCACCCAAGATTGCATGCTTGTTTAGTTTGACAGTTTAAACAATATTTCGATCCCTAGATAATTTGTAGTTTGCTAATGTAAGGATAGACAAACCGTTCTGTTTTGATAATTCGAAAAATACTTGCCATATACTACACTTGATTGAAGGTTGCACTTGACCTTCGATTGGGAGTGTAGTTAGCCACGAGTCCATTACCCATAACAACACTGCCGAAAACATATTCTCGGAGTTTGCTCACTTTTATTTCCATTTCATGTTTTGTGGTACCATTCCATAAATCTGGCAATGAAAATGAGAAAATCTTATTACTTTTCATTTTGTTTTTTGTTCGTTTCCAACTTTGAAAACAGAAAGTGGTAGCTTCCTGTGGTTTCCGAAAACATTTTGTATTTCAAATTGAACAACAAGAGAATAGTGTAACACCCCACCCTAAAATCATGGGTCGAACCGATGGTTCAACCGCGCAGCAGAAATCACTCAGGGTTTACGTTTTGAAAATTCGACTCAACTCACATCTACATCATTATCGTATGTTTAAAATTCAACTCATCATAACACTTTACTAAAAATCGCTTTCTCAAAATCAGGATTCATATAACCCAGACTATCAATCTCATCTTCTCCATTCATACTCAACTCAAGTTAATGATCATACTTGACCATTGTAAACTATCATGCGCGCTCAAAACCCAAATCGTGAAATAAGGATTCTAGAATACATCAATAAGTGAAAAACCTTTTAAATCAAAATCCTCCATCGATCATTGTGCAGTGCCAGAGTCATCCTCAATTTATCACACCTGTCACATCTAGAAAGAAAAATGGGTCAGCTACTAAGCTGAGTGTGTGGACCTGGCCTATACGGCAAAACTATTGTTAGCATGCCAACACATCATCACATCTTGTTGATTAAAAACACATCATCAACAAATTATCATGCCACACAAAAATCTCATTAATCTCTAGATTTATTTCTAGGTCATCAATCCAAATTCGTCTTTACCCCAATTCCTCATGGTATGGCTTTCATTAATCAAGTCATATATCGACATCAAATCGTAAACTTACCTCAACTCATGAATCCATCATATCAATCCTTCATTCAAAGTCAACTCATCATTTAAGCATCAAGCATGTCAATCATTCATCCATCATCAAATCACCAATTTGGAATTAACCATATCAATCATTCATCCATAATCAAATCACCAATTTGGCATTAACTATATCAATCCTTCAATCAATCATCAATCAAATATCACTTCACGATTTCCTTCATGGAAATCATCACCATCATATATATCATATGCAATGCATGAAATGCAGACTCTCCATTTATTATTAATTTGCGCGCTAAGGTCACCATACGCCCACCCCGCTCGAGCTCATCATCTTAGTGGTTATATCAAAAACCACAATCTCATCCAATCTAGGATTATCATAAATCCTTTCATTAGGACCGCAGCCCAATCAATCTCATAGGGGCAGGCATAGGGCCTTCTATGTCTATGTGATTTAACATGATCAAACAATATCAATTTCTCTCTTCCAACATATCTCAATCGATCCAAGAAATCAATAGCGTCCCATTGATATTCCCAGTCCATGCATATCTCACATCATCTATGCATATATTGATGCATTGCATGATCTCAATATAATCATCATCTTCTCAATGATATAAATAATTCATTCTCTTCAACCAAACGTGACAAATCTACCAAGTACTCAATTTATCAATACCTCATTCACTCATCGTAATCATTTAACACATCAAATACAAATCGACCATGATAATATTTCATCCGCATCATCGTTAATCAAAGCATTCATCATATCAACATTATCACAAAATATCTCAGTAATATTTATAATTACCAATCACATTTATACCAATCGATATTCTACTCACGTCATAATCATACACATCAATCGTATCACTAGCAATCAATATCCCTATCATCATCATCATCATCATCATCATCATATCGTAATCATACATATCCATGAACAATATATATTTCATTCATCATAAATCATTTTATCATACGAACCATATAATCTAAAATACATCGGTTTATCCATATCATCCATTAATTAATTATATCAAAATAGCAACTAAATATATTATGATCAAAATCTCATCCTCATGAATTTCTATTAATAACTTGGAACCATTCTAAGGACCATACCCATATATATAATTCTCATGATTATCAAAAGTCCATTTGAAAAGGTCTCCCCTAATAACGCATATCTCAATAATTATTTATTAAAGTACAAACTAACTCATAGTTCGTCATGATTCATTAATAAGACTATTTTCAATATTTCAATTAAATACTCAATTAACCATTTCTCAAAATTAATCATAAAACGTAAATCAAATTAAATCCAAGATAAAATTACTCATGGTAATCACTTTGAACTCACACTCTAATTTAAATAATTTTCTCTTAATCACCACTATTCTGAAAATCATAATACGTTCCCTTTAATAACGAAACCACGTAGAACCGGTTTCATCCATCCAAAAATCCAACAAAGATCACAAATCCTTTGATGTAATTATTCTGACCAAAATTCCTTCTCATATACTAATCCAATTTATAAATTCCCAATTTTACCCTTTTAACGTCATAACTTCAATTAATTCTGCAAAGTCAATTATTACCAATATAATCATTGTCATGATAATATATCATGACTAATGTCGTCTCAAGATTCCTCAAATTCCCTTTCCTTATTCTGATCTCAGTAGACCTTTTCGGAAAATATTCGGAGTTCACCAAATACATCAACAATTCGAATACGAGATTAATAATAATAATTATCATAACAATCAGTTAACTTCATCAATAATTTCATCCAAGATCACAATCATGAACCAATCACAAATCCATCATAATCATTAATCATCAACTCAATCATGCGTATTTAGAAATAAACACGTAATTCCGGTTCCCTTTTACCGTAAGCCCACACACCTTATTTATGACGAAATCCGATTCTGTGAAAGCTCAGGACATTCCATATCTTGGTTTCAAAACATTCTCCTCGTTCTCACGATCCTGTAGGTGAAAACGGTTCGTCGTTTGGACGTCAAACGAACGAATTATGAACGGAATACGAATTCCGTTAGTACTCAAAGTACTAGGGACTAAATACGATATTTACCAGTCAACTAAAAAGAGGTTGACCCGTCTCTGTGGGAAAATTACAGAGTGGTCCTTTAACTTTTCGATTTACCAGACATGGTATCTGGATGGTTGGCATATTCTTCCTCAAACTTGGGAGACTCGGTTCTCCCTCATCCGACGTCCGAATTCGATTTCGTCGACACCGTGACGCTCCTGAGATCGCCCTCTTCGCAACCATATTCATCTTTTGAAGTTTCGTTGAAGTTTATTTTTCCAGAATCCGGCGACACTCCGGCGACGTTCCGGCGAAGCTCCGACGAGACTTCTAACGACCTCCAAACTGAATTCTAACTCCGTGGATCGATTTATGACTTCCTCCCGAGCACAACCTAGTATTCAGAATCCTTAATTTCACTCTCTTCCTATTCACTCTCTTTTTCTCTTCACCACTGACGTGAAACAAAAACTGGGGAGGAGCAAGGATGGAATTTGGTTTTGGTGTCTCTCCGGGGGAAAAGAAGCAGTGGATGCTGCCTACTTATGCAGCTGTTTCCATGTGCTAGCTTGGCTTTTGGATTGAATCATAAGGTGGAAGATGATAGTAATGGCAGTAGTTGAGTGTGAGGTGGAATCATGATGGTGATGGAGCTTAAAGGAGTAATGGTGGGAAGGTGAGTGGGATTGGTTTAGTGATTTCTTCAGACAAAACTTCCCCACCCACGTTACTTTAATTTGATGGGTAGTTGGAGGCAACTCTTATCTCCAGCTTTGTCATTAATCAAATTTGTCTTGCTAAAGAAAATATGACATTAATTTCTAACGATCAGTACCTCTGTCAGGTCGACGTGGTCAGTTATACTGACATGTAATATCAACCTTTGAAAGTGTTCTTCTTTTCGTTACGATCCCGTGGGCGCAAACGGCTCGTCGTTTCGATTACAAACGAAGAAGTTGTGGCTAAATTAGTGTCGACACGTACGTTATTTCAATAACGAAGTCTAGACTTCAAAAGGACATATCTCACTCGTTTAAAATCCAAAATTAGTTCCGTAAAATTCTACGTGATCGTGGAAGAATTTTCTAACTTGTGAAATCAAGATTTGTTCAAAATCTCTGATCCATCATTCCAGAATATTCTTTATTTCCTAAACCATTCGGTGTGGTCGCAATTTCTTCTAGTATGGTTGAAATTCATGATTCCTCATCAAACCGAATTGATTTATAAATTGTCCGAGGTTTGGGATGTTACAACTCTCCCACTCTTAATTGGATTTCGTCCCCGAAATCAAAGTGTTGGTCAATCTGGCCGTACACATCCTGTGCACTAAACTCCTTAGTGGACAATACTTAATTAAGCCACCAAGGATGGTCAACCCTCTCTTTTTCTCACGTCTCTTCTCACTTGGTTGTGATGATTTGAGA